CCCCCCCCCCCCTTCCTATGTGACCCCGGTTGGGTCGTCTAGCTCGTAGAAGTGGAGGATAGGGGCCAGAGGAGCAGGCGACAGAGTCCAATGATGGAGAACAAAAAAAAAAAACATCTCGAGATAGGTGTACTTGTACATTTATGCTTCTGAATATTCAAACGTGCACTTGCACCTTTTGAAACTGCAACAGCAGCGTACTTTCGAGGCAAGATAGTCCTGAATACTCTTCTCTCGCGTGAAAAATCAAAGGCAAGCAACGCAGGAGGGGGGGGGGTAGGGGCCTCGAGGGGAGGAGCCCTTTTGTGTAATTAAGGAATCGAGCTCCTACATGGCAGAAACGCTGCTGTGTGTGTGACAGCGCTGACAAAGATGAACAAAAAACAAATACATCGGCAACACCAGCAAGCCACCCCCTCGAAAAAAATGATGTGGTTGCATCTCACCCAGCACGTACTCGTGAGGGCACGGTTTTGCATGCGGCACATCAGCTCTAGACAGGCACAGCAGTGGTTCACTCTTATAGGACACCGATCGCTGGCACGTTGCCATTGCGGTGTGTGCAAGAACGAACAGAACGAATGCAGGGACATCATATGATGGCCTCTGTCACATATAGACTGAAGTTAGATACTAGATACAGAGTGGGCGGCGTATATTTGGATGTAAACAACAACATTAGAGTGGTGACAACGGCTCACTGAACATTTTCTTGCTCTCACCCGCCCAAGCTTCTTGCTTACTCCCTCGCTCACGTGCCTGCTACTTCTTCGCCTTCGACGGCCCCACCGACACACTCTTATGCACGAAGCTCACCTATCCCTCTCTCTGTTTCGCGAACCCTGAGTTGTACAAGGTGTTCGAAACAAGAGCCTGCTTCTTGCGTAGCAGCTGTGTGTGGGGTGTGGGCGGGGGTCACGGGCCATGATCTGGTATTCTTTTTCTCGAAGGAGCCAGTCGATGCGGCGCAACTGATCTACAATGTATTGCCCGTCTGTCGCTCTGCTGTCTCCGCACTTCCTCATCACATTCACACAGCGCACGCAGCCGACCTCTTCTCCCCGTGAAGCCGTCAAGAGATACGAGATGCTCCTCGAATCGGACGGGCGGTCCTCTTATTCGCAGTGCAGAGGGGATATTCTCGGTTCACCGCACGTGCAGAGCGTTGCCGAGGTGTATGCGTGTCGCTGTGTGCAACGCATCGAAAAATCCAACAAGGCGAGTCTACCGCCGTCCTGGTGAATGGTGTGGACTATCTGGCTGTCTGTTTGACACACTACTTACTGTACATATAAACGCGAAGCTGTGTAGTTTTCGCGATGATTCCCATCGAATCTCTTGGTTCGTTCGTTGCCAACGTCCCGTGGCAGCGACAGTCGAACTGCAACGTTGGATGATGGGCGCCGGCGGAAGAAAGCGTTCAAGACGATCTCGGCCGACGTTACTCCTTCACTCAGTCTTCCTCTCACAAAATGAAAGTCTTCTACAGTCAGTACAAGTCTGTCTCCGTGGTTTGAGTCCGGTCTCCCGGTCTCTCTGCTGGGTGATGCATGTTCGTACCGCTTGGGTTTCACCACGTTCGGTGACGGTTGTTTTCTTTGAGGACTTTATCGATATCGCCGCAGTTCGACGAACCTTCCTTCGGCATCATCAACACAAGACCGTGTGTGGGTGACAGATGGCTTGTTCAAAGCTACAGCCGTGCCGGCCGTCGGTATTGCAGCCTACTCTTGCCGGCAAATAGGTTAGCACCCTTGACCGCGAAAATGGAGCGTGAGCGCTGATTGGAGATCAGCGCTCACCACGTCCTGGAGCACGATCGTCTTCCCCACTACGGACATCCGGCAGCTGTGGGCCTAAGTTTGTTGCGCCTACTCTGCAACAGTGTATATAGTACAAAGTACAGCAGTAGTGAGCGTGTGGACCGTCACCAGCTGCTGTTACGTCTATCGATCGCTGTGAGGATTTCTGACTTCTCCTCTAAACGCACACTGCTTTTGCGGCCCCGCGATAGGTCCTTTGCGTCCTCCAGGGCGAAGTGGCCGCTGCCAGCTGCGGAGAGGGCCCTGCGGGGCTGGGCTCAGACAGCGCCACCACTTGTCACATCGTGGCCTTTCGGAATCCCGCCAGCGGGCGGACGTGCCTGGCGCACCTCGATGATGCCCGCAAAGTCGAGGAAGCGGTGGCGTGCATGCTACGTTTGATGTCTGCCGGGGGCGATGGAGGTGTGATGGTGTTCGTGTGGTGCCGAGGTGCTTGGCTGGTTCGGACCATGGGTTATACAATGGGTTGTTGGTCGTCCCGGTGGGCACCGTTTCGCGAACAGCTCAGCACTGAGAAGGGTGTTCTCATTGGGATCAACAGATCCACCATGGCAGAAGAATGCTTTTCATCATCCTGGAGATAGATGGTGGTTTGACCCTTGAGCACGTACTGTACCCTGGTGCACCGACGACATTTCGCTGAAGAGAATCGGAAGAAGGCTGGCTGCGACCAGGAAGCGGCTGCTCACCCCCACCCTCACTGTGCGTGTCGATCAACTACTTTCATTCCCAACGCTGCTTTTCCCAATACTACTTGCGTTGAATATCAAGCAAACACGATACCCTAACCCAAGCCCCAATCACCAACATCTACCTCACGCCTTGCTCGGTTACCTGGCCAGCGAAAAGCTCCTCCCCGACCTTGGCCATCAATCCGCCAACACCTCCTCCCCCAATGTTGCTTCACTACCCCGCACAACAGAGGAACCCCTTGATCTTTACGTGGTCGGGGGCTACGTCGGCAAAACGTGTTCGGAGGCGCTGTCGAACGCCCTCTTGTGCGTTCTCCACGAGTCTCCGCGAGCTTTCCGTGTCGTGCTGGCCTGCATGTCCCGCCTCAACTCCATGCGGCCCGCCGCTTTCACCGCTGCCCGGACCGGAGACAGCCTGCCGGTCAGCCGGACTCCGGCTGCACAGCCGCCTTCCGTGGGCGGCGGCTGGGGCCCGAGCGCTGCTGGAAGAATAAACGGTGGCGTCTTCTTCGAAGGTGGGATGCAGGGCAGAGACATGGTCAGCGAGGGTGCTAGCAGCGCGCGTGCTGATGTGGGCTGTGTCCGGGATCCACGGGCGAGACAAAACCACCCGGTGCCGACGGACACGAGCTCAGTGAAGGAGAATGACACTCGTCATTGCGACGACGGGTGGCTACCGAGACAAACAAGTCTAGCGATAGACCTGCGGAGCGGGCAGGCGTATCCGGTACGTTTCGAGGGCGAGGGCAGAGGGCCGGGGTGGGAGGTGCGCAGCTCGAGGGTTTTCTCCGGTTCCAGAGAGAACGCTTTGACAGAGGTGAATGCGGCGCACTGCACCTTTGTTGTCCAACAAGATCGTGTTGGCCTCTTTTCCTGTTCGGCACTGCATTTAGTATCGCTTGCTTGCACCAAGAAATTGGGGAGGCAGAAAGGACTCGCGCGTGGGGACGTAGACCAGACTGGTGCGCGATGCCTCTTTACAATGACCGTTTCACATAAACGACATTTGTTGTCGCACCCCTCCTGTGCTTCCTTTCCGACCTGGCGCATGTCAACATGTCAAACCCCTTCCTCTGCACCCCCCCCCCCCCCCCCCCCCCCCCCCCCCCCCCCCCCCCCCCCCCCCCCCCCCCCCCCCCCCCCCCCCCC